TTGTGCAATGTAAAAGTGAAGTCACATACCCCCACTCCTACTAAGTAAACTCAACAAGAAGTCATAGTGTAGTTCATGTCTCATTTATTATCTTATCATATAGGGAAGAATAGCCATAACTGACATAGACCATGTGAGCTACATGGAATCCGGTGTCGTGTAACCCCAAACCGAAAGAAGGTGTCCTACTTTCCTAAGGTAGAACTAAATGTGTTAGCTTACAGGTGGATCAACTAGCTAAGTCCTATGTGGTCACATAGTTATGGGATATGGAGATTGCTTCTAGAAACCCGACCTATTGAGTTGGCAGAGGAGCTTCCGTCTCATGAGTTTACTATAGATGACCCGACCTATTGCATTGACGGAAGGGCCTTTACCTCATTGTCCATATCCACTCGGTACTAAGCATTATCTCCCAAATTATACATAATTAGTCTTGAATTGTATTTACATGTGTGAAGGAGTGCTCTACCCTTTATTCAATACAATTCATCAAATAGCTCATAGACTCATTTAGGTGAGAACTAACTTTCAACCTTAGAATCATCATTAATATGTGAGTAAACCTTTCACATTAATTTTCATAGTGTTTTCATGAGAAATAGCTTTTCAATCAACACAACAACATCATCATCATCCTAGACAAGTCATATATGAACACGTGTAAGGGTAAGGAGGGAATCACCTTTCAACAATACCTCAATTTACACAATAGTCATAGGATATTTACCTTTCAAGTGAATCATAAGGTCATACATCCCTTTCAACAATTTGTACAATCCTTAGCAATTTACCCTTGGCTTGCCCTTTTTGCTTGGCACTTGTCCCTTAGGCCTTGACTCCTAAAACCCCCCATATCATGTTTAGATGGTCTACTAATCTACGGGGAGTCATTTTATGATTTTTAACCCTACGTTTAGGCTCTAGTTTAACCTACCATTCTCCAGAGTGTTACATTATCTCTCCCTTGGGAACATTTGTCCTCGAATGACGATTTAGACACCTTATGAAAATAAAGACTCAAAACTAGCAACCCATCATACATGCAACATAACAAAGTGCACAATCCATATGAGGAAACATCAACTCCATCTCAAGACATAAACAATGCAATCACAAGGAAGTAGGAACAACATCCACAACCCAACATGCACAAGACTCATCATTTCATATCATTTTAGGAGGAACTACCTTCTCCAACTCAAACAAGCTTGACGCAATCAACAAAGAGCCAATATGCCATATCATCACAAGTATAGCAAAACATGTTCATTAATTCACCTCATGAAGTCAAATATGCAATCATCATACTAAAGTGCAAACCAACATGAGGAACATATAAACCATGAAAACTCAATATATTCTAAACATGAATTCTCACAAGAACATGCACAACACAAGGATATCATAAAATAAAACTCATAGCACAAAAGTCACTTCCAAAACATCAAACTCAAGAAACTATTTACCTCAAGTTGGGATAGGAGTAGAAGGAAAAAGACGAGGATAGAGAGACTTCATGCCGGCCTCTGCCTCCCATGTAGCACCCTCAACTAAGGGATTCCTCCATAAGACTTTAACGGAAACTACCTCTTTGTTTCTTAACTTGTTAACTTGCCGGTCTAAAATCTCAACCGAAACTTCTTCATAGGAAAGGTTCTCATCAACCCCTAAACCTTCTAAAGGAAGGAGGGATACCAGATCACCTATGCACTTCTTGAGCATGGAAACATGAAACACCGAGTGAACCGGAGCCAACTCACTTGGCAAGTCCAATTCATAAGCAACTTTCCCAACACGTTTCAAGATTTGGTATGGGCCCACATACCGGGGACTAAGCTTCCCCTTCTTACCAAACCTCATCACACCTTTCAGGGGTGAGATTTTCAAGTAGACCCAATCACCAACCTCAAATTCAAGATCACTTCTTCAAACATCGGCATAAGATTTTTGCCGACTTTGGGCCGTCTTCAACCTCTCTCTTATAAGTCAAACCTTCTCAATGGACTCATAGACTAGTTCGGGACCAATTAGAGATAACTCACCTACTTCAAACCACCCAACCAGAGATCTACACCTCCTACCATAAAGTGCTTCAAATGGAGCCATGGAAATGCTTGAGTGGTAACTATTGTTGTAGGCAAATTCTATCAATGGTAGATGGTCATCCTAATTACCTTGGAAATCTATGACACATGCCCTCAACATGTCCTCTAAGGTTTGAATGGTGTGTTCCGCTTGACCGTCCGTTTGAGGGTGGAAAGCGGTACTAAGTTTAACATTGGTACCAAGCCCTTGTTGGAATGCCTTCCAAAAATGTGAAGTAAATTGAACATCCCGATCCGATATGATAGATAGAGAAACCCCATGCAACTTCACTATCTCCTTGATGTACAATTCGGCAAAGTCTTCCGCCGAAAATGAAACATTGGCGGGAATGAAGTGGGCTGATTTAATCATCCTATCAACAATGACCCAAATAGAATCATGTTGCCTTCAAGTACAAGGAAAACCCACCACAAAGTCCATATTCATCTCCTCCCACTTCCAAGTGGAAATATTTATATCTTGAAGCAAACCTCCCGGTCTCAAGTGTTCGGCCCTAACTTGTTGACAATTCGGACACTTGGCTACAAAGCCCGTTATATCCTTCTTCATGTCATTCCACCAATAGACTTCCCGTAGGTTACGGTACATCTTGGTGGCTCCCAAATGAATAGAATACCGCGAACCATGAGCCTCCTCTAAAAATTTTTCTCTCAAGCCATCAATATCCGGAACACATAATCTACCTTGGTACCTAAGTACCCCATCTCCCCCTTGGGAGAAAGCCTCAACGAACTTGTTGAGAACCGATTTTTTCAATTCCCTTAAGATAGGATCAAGATGTTGCTTGGACTTTACATCAACAACAAAAGACGATTCGGAACTATGATGGACCATGAATCCACCGTTAGTGGAATCCATTAGTTGGACACCTAACTGGGCCAACCTATGCATATCATGAACCAATTCTTTCTTCTCGTCTTCTACATGAGTCACACTAACCATGGACAATCTACTTAAGGCATCCGAAACTACATTAGCTTTGTCGGGGTGGTATAAGACACTCATGTCATAATCTATCAAAAGTTCTAACCACCTTCTTTGACGGAGATTCAAATCTTTTTGGCTAAACACATATTGAAGGCTCTTGTGGTAAGTAAACACATCGACATGCACCCCAAAGAGATAGTGTCTCCATATTCTCAAGGCAAACACCATTACTGCTAGTTCGAGATCATGAGTTGGATAATTCTTTTCATGTACCTTGAGTTGCCTTGAAGCATAGGCAATCACCTTACCGCGTTTCATGAGGACACACCCAAACCTACTCAAGATGCGTGACAATATACTACAAACCCATCAGTACCCTCCGGTAAGGTCAACATCGGAGCAGATGTGAGTCTATCTTTCAATTCTTGGAAGCTCTTCTCACAAGCCTCCGACCACACAAACTTAGCCTTCTTTTGAGTCAAGGTCGTTAATGGAGATGCAATAGAAGAGAAACCCTCAACAAACCTCCTATAGTAATCGACCAAACCCAAAAAGCTTCTAATGTCAATAGGAGTTAGAGGTCTAGACCAACTCTTGATCACATCCGTCTTCTTATAATCAACCTCAATACCCATGCCCGATACAATATGACCAAGGAAGGCAATCAACCTTAGCAAAAACTCACATTTGCTAAACTTAGCATATAATTGGTGGTCCTTAAGGACTTGCAACACTCTCCTCAAGTGATCCTTGTATTCACCTTCACTCCTTGAATGGATCAAAATATCGTCAATAAAAACGATCACAAATGAATCAAGATATTGCCTAAACAACAGGGTTTATAAATGCCGCCGGGGCATTTGTTAAACCAAAAGACATAACCACAAATTCGTAGTGACCGTACCGGGTCCTAAAGGCCGTCTTGGGAATGTCACACCCTTTTATCCTTAGTTGATGGTAACCCGAACGAAGATCTATTATGGAGAAAAAGGTAGCCCCTTGGAGTCGATCAAACAAATCGTCAATCCTAGGAAGTGGATACTTATTTTTTATAGTGACCTTGTTCAATTGGCGGTAATCGATACACATCCTAAGGGACCCATCTTTATTTTTCACTAATAATATCGGTGCACCCCATAGAGATATGGTTGGTTGAATAAAACCCTTGTCTAACATGTCCTTGAGTTGTGCCTTCAACTCTTCCAATTCGACCGAAGCCATTCTATAGGAAGGGATATATATGGGTTATGTATCCTGCCAAAGTCTATTTCCCGTTCGAGAGGAATACTGGGCAAGTCATCGGGAAAGACTTCTGGATACTCCCTCACTACGGGAACCGACTATAAAGAAGGGACATTGGACTCAACATCCATAACCCTAACAATGTGATACATGCACCCCTTTGAGATCATTTTTCAAGCTTTTAGACATGAAACAAATTAACCTCTAGGAATAGAATTTCCCCCTTTCCACTCTAAAATTGACTCTTTTGGAAATTGAAATTTGACCACCCAGGTCCTACAATCTATTGAAGCCTAACATGTATCCAACTAATCCATGTCCAAAATCACATCAAAATCAAGCATGTCTAATTCTACCAAATCAACCAAAGTGGATTTATGAGACAAAGAAATAGGACAACTTCTATATACTTTTTTAGCTACAAACGAGTCACCAATCGAGGTAGAAACCGAAAAAGGCTCTATTAGGGTTTTGGGGAGTACATCAAATTTCATAGCCACAAAGCGTGTAACAAAAGATAAAGTGGCATCGAGGTCTAATAATGCATAAACATCAATGGAAAAAAACTTACAACATACCTATTACCACGTCCGGGGAACTCTCTTGATCACCTCATGATTGAAGAGCGTAGAAGCGATTCTTCTTGGGAGCATCAGAATTTGAACCACTTGGAGGAGCTTGATTACCCTCTCTTCCCTTGGTCGTACAGTTTGGACAATCTTTCAATTGATGCTCACATTTTCCACATCCATAGCACACACCCAAACTAGCAAGACATTTCCCTCATGCTTCTTACCACACTTGGCATGTGTAGGCCTCTCCATGGATAGTGCACTCCTATTGCCTCCTTGAGGCAAAGGGTTAGACACCCTATCTTTGTTGGTCTTAGGAGCATTAGAAGAGCTTTGGTTGGAAAACCTCTTCTTAAACATTGGTCCACTTTGACCCTCAAACTTACCCTTAGAATAATTACCATCATCGGTCATTTCCCTTTTTACCTCTCTATTCTTTTTCCTAAGCCTTGTCTCCTTAACTTGTTGAGCATACACCATTAGACGTGAAATGTCCATATTGTCATGAGGCATTACCGCACGACATTCTTCCTCAATTGAGTTGAACACCTCCGTCACAAATCGGCTCATTTTATCTCTAGGATTAGACACTAAAGATGGGGCATACTTGGACAACTTAGTGAATTTCAAGGAGTATTCTTGGACACTCATACATCCTTGGCGAAGGTTGATAAATTCCTCCACTTTTGCTTCCCTTTTATCCCGTGGAAAGAACCTATCAAAGAATGCCTTCATGAACACTTCCTAAGTTATGGGACCCGCTCTTATAGCCCTATTATCCTTCCATTGAGTAAGCCATACTTGGGCCACATCTTTTAATTGATACCCGGCTAGTTCGGCTTTCTCAATAGAGGTTACCCCCCATAACATCCACTATCTTGTAGAACTCTTGCACAAACTCTTGTGGGTCTTCATTCACCTTAGAACCAAGGAATATAGGAGGGTTCATTTGAGTAAAGTCTCTCAACCTTGAAGCCATGGTGCTTACATTAGGATTCACTCGGGGCCCAACTTCCCTATTTGCTTGTTCCGTTATAGCTTGGGGTTAAATGGTGACGGCTTGAGTTTGACCCGTCATGAGTTGAGTCAATGTTGGGAGAGTCGCCCTTATCTCCACATTAGTCATAGCCCCTTCATCATTAGGAGCTTGGGGATCTTGATGAGCTTGGGGAGGAACTCCCTCATTCACATCCTCCTCTTGTATCCTCCTTGCATTCCCTCTTCATGTATTCATTTCCTATAATCAAAAGAAAAGGGTTAGGAGAAAGGACTTCATAGGGTTAGGACTCCAAAGCACGACTAAAGAGTAATGGAAGAAATAAAGTTCCTAAACATCTTATAGCCTCTCTTTCATAAGTGTGGCACAATTCACACTCATGAACAAGACTCTAGTAGACGTGGTTCATGAGACATCAACCTAAATATTATCCTAAAAGCTTACGCTCTGATACCAAGTTTGTCACGACCTAGAGTTACCCCTAGAAGCGGCACAACATACTTGACCCAGAAGGGGTCGCATACAAGCCTTTAGCATAATCATACACATAAAGTCATAAGAATAATGTGGAAATTTAAAACTTTTACAATCAAAGTCACACTTCATTTTCATAACCGAAATCATAAGAATCTAGACTTTGTCTCATTTACCATCTAAAACATAGGAATACAAAGTTTGGGACTTAGCCTTTTTCGTCAATAAAAGTCTCAATATAAGAAGTACAATAGGAACTAAGACATGGATAATCCTTCCTTGAACTTGAGGACTCACCACAACTTGGAGATAAGAAATCCAAGTCTTCTTCAAGAAAGGAGAGTGTATGTCACTTAGCCGGAAACTACATTTATCAAAAATGTAGAAGGAGAAGGAGTTTGCACAAATATGTACTAAGTATGGAAACATGCATAAAATCCTTTAAATATGATAAAAAGGACATTTTAGTTGAAAAGTATGCATTTATCAAGTGTGGAAACCAACATGCATTTTTAATGTAAAAGACAAGCTATAATCATATTTATACTCATAACATAGTAACATCAATACCTTAGCAACCCCTAAGGAACACTTGTGCAATGTATGGTTGGCATCCCATAATACCAACCATACTAAGTACTCCCTTGATGCTACCTTAGTTATACATACCATCTTTAGACCTCATCATAATCGATAGTCATCAATAAAGAAATAGTCATGTATATTACTTGAACATAAGGAAAGTCATTCCTGGCAATTATTCATTCAACATACATGCATACATTCATATCTCATCATAACATAAAAGAACTATCCCATAACATCCTACTAAGTCTACTTGTGCAATATAAAAGTGAAGTCACATACACCCACTCCTACTAAGTAAACTCACGAAGAAGTCATAGTGTAGTTCATGTCTCATTCATTATCTTATCATATAGGAAATAATAGCCATAACTGACATAGACCATATGAGCTACATGGAATCTGGTGTCGTGTAACCCCACACTAAATGTGTTAGCTTTTAGGTTGATCCACTATCTAAGTCCTATGTGGTCACATAGTTATGGGATATGGGGATTGCTTCTAGAAACCTGACCTATTGCATTGGCGGAGGAGCTTCCATCTCATGATTTCACTTTAGATGACTGGACCTATTGCATTGACGGAAGGGCCTTTACCTCATTTTCCATATCCACTCGGTACTAAGCATTATCTCCAAAATTATATATAATTAGTCTTGAATTGTATTTACATGTGTAAAGAAGTGCTCTACCCTTCATTCAATACAATTCATCAAAGAGCTCATAGACTCATTTAGGTGAGAACTAACTTTCAACCTTAGAATCATCATTGATATGTGAGTAAACCTTTCACTTTATTGTTCATAGTGTTTTCATGAGAAATAGTTTTTCTATCAACACAACAACATCATCATCATCCTAGACAAGTCATACATGAACATGTGTAAGGGTAATGAGGGAATAACCTTTCAACAATACCTCAATTTACACAATAGTCATAGGATCTTTACCTTTCAAGTGAATCATAAGTTCATACATCCCATTCAACAATATGTACAAACCCTAGCAATTTACCCTTTCAAGGATCATGAATCATGTCTCACAATCATACTTAGAAATACTACTTTAAGCATGAATAAAACAAAACTCAACAACTAGATTAACATAGATACAATTCATAGTAATCATCTTTCATCAATACTTCCATCACAATTCATAAAATTGGGGTCATGGGGTAGTTCATAGGTTCATGGGGAGTTTTACTATAAAAATCACCATTATGCATCAAATCATCCATAATATAGGACAAATAACATAATCAAATCTCTTTTAAGAAGAACCCATGGCTAGAATGAAAACCCTAGTTTTTTAACAATATCCCAAATTTCGAAATTAGAGTTGAAGGGCTTCATGGAGAAAAGTGTTCCATGAATCAAGGTTCCCATACCTTAATTGAAGCTTTTCCCACAAATTGGAGTTGAGAAGATGGATTCTTGGTCCCTATTCTTCAAGTTCTTGGTGTTCTTCAATGGAGAAACTGTAGAGAGAGAAATATTGGAGAGGAGAGGATTTTATGAAAATATTTGGGTGTTGTGTATTAATGAGTGAAAGTAAGTGAATTTGACTTAAAAACAATATATAAACTACCCCTAAAAATACCCAAAACACCCCCACTTTAATTGGACTAAAAATAAAATGACTTAAAAGTCCTCATTTAATGGTCCCCGTCAAGGACCACGAGCCACCCTTCACAAGCCGTGGTGTCAACCACGACACGTGGTCCTGCCCGTGAAGGTGAGGCAGTGGCCTCCATTTTTTGTCACAAGGTTCATTAGCCCAATTCATTTTCACGGGACCCTTCACGACTCGTGAAGTGGACCACGACACGTGGTCATGCCCGTTGAGGGTTGAGGCAGTAGCATGCTACCTCGCGCCTTTATGCCACCACACCCAAGTCCTCTTCACGGAGGGCTTCACGAGCTGTGGTCCCTTCCGTGGAGGTTGAGGCAGTGTCTAAGACACTTGGAGGCTTCCCTCCTTTGTCCAAGGAAACTCCACGAAGACTCCCACGGGCCGTGGTCATGATCATAAGCTGTGGTGATGGCCGTGGAGCTTGAGGCAGTGTGCTCAAGTTTTGGGCAGCCTTGGCCTTTGACCTTGGCTTGCCCCTTTTGTTTGGCACTTGTCCCTTAGACCTTGACTCCTAAAACCCCGATATCATGTTTAGATGGTCTACTAATCTACGAGGAGTCATTTTATAATTTTTAACCTTACGTTTAGGCTCTAGTTTAACCTACCATTTTTCGGAGTGTTACAATTATGTTGCTTGTTAGAGAAAAGTTCGTCGAGATAGTCAAGGTAGGTGAGACTATCGAAGACGGTCTAAGAACTGGGAAGATTGCCCGTGTTGTTGCCTCGCCTGGATCCTCGGGTTTGTTGAAGAAGAAAAGAGGAGACGTGTCTTCTATCTCTTACGAGGGGAAGAAGACCCCAAGAAAATCCTCATCATACCAAGGTCGTTTCCGACCTCCATAGAGTTTTTACCCAGCTTATTATGTACAGGATGATTACCAAAATTCCCCTCGACCTATTTACCAAACTCCTCATCCTATCTACCAAACTCCCCCTCCAGTTTACCAGACTTCATCTCATCTCTACCGAAACGCTGCCCCCAACTGTGCCAACGTTCAGGAAAATTACCAAACTCCTCCCCCAGTGTATCAAACCCCAACTTCACTTTACCAAAATACACCCCCCCACCGAACTACCAAGCTCCACAGCCAAATTACCAAACCAATTCATATCCAAGATATCAAGACCCCCGTCCAAATGCTCCAAATCATCGTCAAATGCCTCCCCATCAACAAGGCAATTCTGATCCTCCCCGTCCTAGATGTGAGAAGAAGCCCGCTAGAAATTTCACTTCATTCATTAAAATCCAAACAAAGTTATTCGAGCGATTAACTACTGCAAGAATTATCCATCCAGTGGGGCCCAAACCGGTTGACACTAGCTCAAGATCCAAGACCTAATTGACCAGAAAGTGGTCACTCTCCAGAAAGTCGTGCCCAATGTCAATAGTAATCCTTTTCCAAATCATGGGGGCGTCACTATCAATATGCTAGAGATGGATGATAAATGGTGCGTGACAAAGGCAATAGTTTTGATTACTCCTGATGACTTGAAAGGGATGTTGCCTCGTTGTGCATAAGAGAGAAAAAGGAATTCGTGATTCTGACACCCGAAAAGGCTGTTGCCTTGGTGCCAAGAGAAATTCCCACCCGACAAAAGTTTGTGATTGAAACGGCTGCTACCCAGGGTATGACTAGATCCGGAAGATGTTACACACCAGAACAGTTATCCCAGGGAGTGCAGAAGAAGGATCAGTCTAAAAGGACAATTAGTGAAGCTAAAGCAGAAAAGTTTTGGAAAAAGATGCAACCAAAAGATTACTCGATCAAGAAGCATACGGAGAAAACACCAGCTCAGATTTTTGTGTGGGTCCTGCTGATGAGTTCACAACTTCATAGGCAAGACTTGATGAAGGCTTTGGATGACACTTATGTGGCCGTGGGTACTAACAGTGATAAATTGGCGGCCATGATAAGCCAAGTCGTTCGAGGACACCGCATCATTTTCTGTGACGAAGAGTTACCCTTTGAAGGCAAGATGTACAACAAAGATTTGTACGTCACCATTAAGTGTCGAGACAAGATTATAAATTGTGTCTTGATCGATGA